AATTTTCGAGCGACGCGTGGGTGGGTGGCCGTGCTTCTTCAGAGGCATTATTCGATTAGAGGACGCGTTCACGCGTGACATCACCTACGCGAGACAATTTTCGAAGCGGAAGGAATCTCGTTTCTCTGGTGGAATTCGAGGCGCAATTTTCCACTAATCCCGAGCAGAAACTCTCCTTAAGTAATATCCTAGCCAACGTTCGATGATTCGAGCAAATTGCAACCATTGTTTTGCATCGTTGCCCTTCTTTGATTAAACGTAATGGGATCGATTTGAGCGTAATATCGAGTCCACCCTTCGCCCAAAGCATTTGTAATTTGTTGCCAGTTAATTCAATTTATCCGAGTGGAATTCTTTGTTAGGGTTATCACGGCTGAAACGACGTTGCAAGCAATCCGATTCTATTGAGAAAGATTACGGCCAATTTTCTAGACAGAAACCACGCTCCACGTGCGTAATAATATCCGTGAAAACTGTGGTGTGATGTGCTCGAAACGGGGTTACAGCCAGTTCCGTGGATAGACTAAATTTACGTTTCGAATGAACTCGGCCGGATGCAACTCGCGCCTAATAACACGCTCGTAACAAGTTTCGAGGGACTTCCGCAAAGTGGAAGTTTCAACTTGGTTCAACGAAGAAGATAAGAAGAACGAATGAAAATATTTCGATATTTCTATCTTTTCCTGGAGAAGTGAAGAATTCGATAGTGGCTATAAATTTCCGTTATATTTCTTCCGTTGTGAAACAATTAAGAGTGATACGTCGACTCGTATCGAAACTCTTGACGGTGTGGAAATTGGAAATAAATCCTCGGCTTCGAATCGTTGCAATTCGACCTGATTTAACTTGTAACACTTGTAACGAACTTCACAGAGAGATTTCCTGGAAAGATGAAGTTCTAACTTGCTCTAAGTTAACTCGAAGTTAAGGAAAAATATTTTCAACGTTAAATATACGTCGATTCGGATCGAAACTTTTGACAGGATGGAAAATCGATCGGAAATAAATCTAATTCAATCTAATTGAAAACGTAAGGTGAAATTTCAACAATTCGAAGAGAGAAGGCCATTAGAATGGTAAAATATTCGAAATTTTTGTTGGATGAACTCGACAGCACGATAATAAATCTGGAATTTATTTCAACCGAAATTCTGAATAGCGAAATGAAATACGCGAAATATTTTCAACGATAGATGTATATCGATTGGAACTCTTGGAACTCTTTCGAGGGGAAAACCCTTCGAAAGAGATCTTTTGAAATCGCCATTTCCCTCCACCTTTTTATCTTTCGAATTTCTTAGCTTCGCTCGGCCAACATCCAAGATATTAAGAATTTTCTGCGAGGGAAACGGGATCCAGGCAGAAAGAAAAGCCTGGCCTTTCCCGCGAAGAACGAATAAATCTGTCGGATAACCAGGGTCGTTGCTTTTACTTCGTAACCTTCTTTTTTTTCTTTCCACCATCGGGTAACACGAGATTAATATAAAATATCAAGTCGAGCTACTCGGCCAAGATAGAATAATAATGATCGAACACGAACCTGTAGCCGAGTAACCAAGCGACTCATCATCGAAGGATGAATTAATGAGAAACACAAGGCGACTTTTTTTTCTCTCTCTCTCTTAATTTGCTTGTGGAAAAAATCTCATTTGCGAAGAGTTCATCAAAATGAAAATTTCATGAGAGGAAAATTTTATTAGTCTACTCTTTTCTTTCTTTTTTTTTTTTTATTGTCATCTAGTAAAGGGGGAGGGGGGAGGGGTGATAGTTTAATATTTCAAAGTTAAAAAAGTGAAAAATTCGACAGATCTCGCGATGCAGTCAAATTTAACTTTATAATCGTTGTTCAGAAAAAAATTTTTGAAATTTGTCGACTTATTTGTCGAGTTTTTCTTCTCCTAGTCGTTAATTATCCTCCGCTTAAAATCTTCATTCGGACGAAAAAGGCTGAGTATCATTTTATGTTGGCCTTCTTTTTTTTTTTTTTTTCAGTATGATGATTAAGTTTATTAAGGTGGAACTTTGAACGACTGTAAAAGAATTTTAACGAGCATATGGTAATTTCCGAAAGTTTGATCGTGGAATTAAATATTTGAGGAAATAATACATTCTTTGACGATCGCAAACTGGTATAAATCAAAATATGCAAGTGTGTCGTGATGCGTATATGAATATTTGATGTAACGAGACAAAAATGACGCCAAAAATCTTGTTAACAGAATGTGGAATAAATTGAGTTTTAAAGGAAATCTGAAAATCTCCTTTAAAAAAGAAAGTTTACTTTATATTTTCTAGCGTATATATTTTCTGAACGAGGTTTTCCACTGAGTGGTATCACATTCCACTTCAAACGACAAACAACGATTAAAGGAATCGAAAGAGTTGTACGTCTCAAAGGATTCCTCTATAAACATTGTAGACCAAACCAGGAATACTTATATAAATGAGTGAACACTTCTTTCATTTCAAACGTACGAATCAACCAAAAGAGGTTACGATACACAGAAAATTTCTAAACAAATAGAATCTCTTACTTATATACACGTTCGAACATTACACGTAAACAGATAAGGAATTGAAAATAAATCAAATATTTGTAACTTCATCAAATTTCAATTTCAATCGGTAAATTCGATAAATTGATATGAAACCCAATTAGAAATAATGATCGTCGAGAAAAGCATCGATGTTATTTACAAGCAATTTCGATACACTATTAACGTTCCTATTTTATGGAAATATATACGAGTAACTGAAAATATTTCGATGTATGTAGTTTTAATACATTGAAATGAAATAATATCGCAGAAGCAGACGTTTCCAATTATTCGAAAATTTTAACAACGAAGATCGATATTTTTTACTCGACATTTCCAATTGCCCCAACTAAATTATCCATAAAAATTTGTGTATATTTTCTTTTTCTCCAAAATTATGTCAAAAAAAATAAATAAATAAATAAAATAAAATATCCCATTTATCTAAATATCTGTGATTCGCTCTCGATCGAGAAAAAGAAAAACTTTCGTTACGTCGTGGAAAATAAAAGAAGAAAGAAAAAGCGATATCTGAGATAATATAATAAAGCTCGAATCGACCCGATAATAGAATAAATCACGCTTCGAATGAATCACGTTTCTTAGAAACGAACGACGGGGAGAAATCATTAGAAAAAAAGTAAAATAACAGCGAAACATTAATAACCCCGATTAACACAATCGTCACGTATAAACCAATAAGATGTCAAAACGGCTATTTTTCTTTCTTAGTCTTCCCCCTAGTCAACCCTCTCCATGGCAACCCTTCTCTCTCCTCGAGTAAATCGAGTCGATTGTATATACAGCCGAGGGAATGAAAATTATTAACTGCGTGAGAAAATGGGGCGAGGGCCGAAAATGGGGATTTAAATCTTGGAAAAAGTGTCTCTTTGGAAAATTACTTTCGAGACAAAGTAGCGCGAGCTCTTGTCTTTTAACGCTCGTCTGGTAAAATTTAAAAGGGTAAAGGAAAAGTTCCCCGTTCCAATTAAATTTATCTCGACATTCCTGGATTTTATTAATTGAAGATCGAAAACATCGAAAAACTTGAGTCTACGAATCAAAAGAGTTAATAGAACTTTGTCTCTTTGCAAATAGAGAATTGCAATAAAAGTTTTATCTTTCAGCAATTCTACGTTTATGAAAAAGTCTAAGAAAAATTTCCTACAACTTTTCAACGTCTTTAGAATACCATATAATTATAATTATACCATCACGATAATTTCTTTCTTTTTTTTTTTTTTAATTATTAACAAACTTCCTCTAATATTTTTAAAAAGAGAGATTGCCAACCGTCTTAATGCACACCGTCTTCTTAGCGAATCGGCGATTCCGTTTGCTTCTTTGCAAAAAGAAGGAAAACACGAAGCGAAAAGCTTCCATGTGTCGTAGCTGGTCAAGATAAAGCCCGATAAATCCTACTGATAAGCTGGCCAAGCTCGATTGAACCCGTCATAAAATGAATAAAAAAAAAAAGAAAAAGAAAAAAAATCGCATAAAACGAAATGCAATTGTTGCCGAGATATAAAAGAACCATTTGAATCACTTTTCGTACGTGTACTCTCGCCCCGTTTCTCGGATAATTTAAAGTTCTCAGGTAATTTTAGAACTTGGCACAATCCGATTTTATTTTGATTCCGGTCAAAAGATCGCGGCGCCTTCCTGACACTGACTTCGTGCTCTGTCTCCACCAGACAACGTGTCTCGATATCCTTCTCCTTCCATTTTAACATTTAAAAATTTTACCATCTGTTGCTTGCTTTCCAAAGACTTTCCAGCGTTTCAACGTAATCGCTTTATAAGTGCGACGATTGGCAAACAATGTCGGGGATTCGAATAAACGAACAACCAATAATTCTGTTTCTCCAAACAATCGTAGTGTGAAAAATAATATTTGTAAACGAGTTGTTCGTCGAGTCGAATTCGAGAGGGGAGTTGGTGCAAAATGAAAAAAAAACTAAAGGGTATGATTGAAAAATAAATAAATTTTCCACGCGTTCCGCTTCGATAAACGGAACATGATTGAAAGAATCGATCGAGAATAATTCATGGACAACGTTCAAGTAAGATGATTGCGTCGGAAAGGAAATATGTTTCGCGTGACAAATAGTCAGTAATGATAGAATAATATCCGATAAAATTAATCTATATAAATATGAATAATAAATTAATTAAAAGAAATTGCAAATATAATTTCGATGAATCAAATATCGAAAGGTAAATTAAATAAAATGATAAAATTAAACGAACGATACTCGTTATATTTCTATATTTATTATTTACTTTTCCTTGTCGTCGAATAATTGTTAATAATTGCTAAATAAATTGTTTTTTTCATTTGTGAAATTTTCCAATATTTACTTGACACGACTAAAATTCCCAATGGAACAAGATTAATCGTTCGTAAAATAGATTCGATCGTAAAAATTGTTGAATAAATATTATATTTTATAGAGGACTCACCTTGACAGGAATGCAAAAAAGAATAAGCAAAAGATCGGCAGTTGCCAAACCGCCTAGAAAAACGTTGGTCGGTGTCGCTGGTAAAGGTCTCAGTCTGGGGCACAGTGTTGAACCAATGATGACGACGTTTCCTGAAATAAAACTGTTACTGCACCGTTTCTGCACATTCGTTTCTCATCAAAACTTGATAATTACCACGCCCCCCCCCTAATTAATTAAGGCCGAGTAACTTTCGAGGGAATACAATCGCGAAACAATCGAAACATCGTGTCGAGTGGAATCATCCGTCAACTTAAAAACACGTGTTATTCGAAATTTATATGACGATATAAATTTTTAGAAAATTTCCAGATAATGTAGTTTATATTAGAGAAAATGGGTCGATAAAACGAGATGTCACGTATCGAATGATATTTTAGTCGAATCAAAGTGATTCACTCTTCGCTCAAAAATAATTATTTTTCCAATGGAATTTTTTTTAATATATATACGAATAATTCAACTGTGTGTGACGATTTATTTATTTTTATCAACGAACAATTTTATACAAAAAAATCTCTCTAGAAAAAAATAATTCTCTAAAAGATAAAATTTTCTCGAAAAATATTTTTCATATTGCTTTTATTCAATTGCGAACAATAACTAATCTTTTTCCTAATCTTTGTTTCGACTAAAATCTACCTATGTTTCACCTGGATCTCTATTCTCTCAGGAAATTTCCAATAGATGATAAATATGCAAATGAGACATCTGAAAACTTTTAATTAATCCAATAAATATATATATATTCTTTCAGTGGAATTATAAAAATATATTCGTCCATTGTAATTGTCATACGTGCAAATGTTACAATATAGAAAAAATATGTACGATAAAATTAATCAAAATGCGTTGAAAATAAAGACGAAATTTTTTTTCTAATTCTTCACCGACTCATCCGATAATAAGGAAAAACTACAACTAAGTTGCAAGTGTTTGAACAACTCTTTAGACCGAAATAACGTTTGTTCATGATTCTAAACCCACTCGATTCGATAAATTCAAAATACATTTTATTCGTAGCGTTGAAATGAAAATTGGAATTGGAGTTTAATCAATTGATCGTCGATGGTGTACCGTTTTTCATCAATCCTTGATTATATTCTCCCGTCAATCGCTTCTCTCCAATTTCTGTTTTTTCCCATTTAACGTTACACGAGGAAAACTTTTTCAAATGAACGAAACAAAAGAAAGTTGCGTAATGAAAACAGATTTTCAAACTCAATTTCCTATCAACCTTTTTCTTCCCCCATTATATATAAACAAAAACAACAAAAAAATTACGATTCTTCCCCCTCGAATATTTTACAAAACTCTCCTACCTTTTTTCTCCGATAAAAATTTTTTAAATTCTCCCCACAAACGCGCAAAAGAATCGATTTTCACCTAATTTAACTCGCTGATCAAACACTATCTGATCCAGGTCACTTTTGATCTCACTTTTCGGCCGGTCGTTATTTACAGAGCGCATCGAGCAAAAGTGAGTCGACGAAAATTAAGAAGAAGAAACGTTGGATGAAACGTTGATATAAAGTGTATATTTTCGCTCACCGATTAATCCGAGGAAAAACGTGAGGGAGTACACGACGAGGACAGGCCCCAATTCCGCCCAATCGAAGTGGCTCAACGAGTCGTTGATATCGTAATCGAGGAAATCGTCCGTGGCATTTGTCTCGTTCGACATGGCTGCGATTAACTTCTTAACAACGACACTTGTTGAGAAGCAGCGTCCACTCGTCCACCATCGTTCACCACCGCGTTTTCCATCGTGGCCGCCTCTCAAACGCTAACTGCATCGACAATTTTCCCTTCCTCCAACGCGATTCCTTGGGAGCCCTTCCTCCCCCCCGCGACCACAAATCTTCCACCGCCCGCTTTTCTTCCCATGCTTCCCTTGTCCACCGTTTTTACACGCCGCCACCGCCGAGTCGATGATGCGTTCCCATACTCTCGCCCCTGCAACGGATAAGAAAGATCGTTAATTCAGTGTTTTCATCGAGAAAGAATTATATCGATTTAGATCATTGAATCTTGCTTTTATACGATCGATCGTATAATTTCGATTCGTATAATAAAATTCGTAAGGGGAGAAACGAAAGGTTAAATCTCGTGAATCGAGATTAATTTTCGCTGGGGGGAAATCTTTCGATCGTATGATCGTTTGAATCGAAGGAAGTAAAAAAAAAAAATAATATTAAAGGCGAAAATGTGAATGGAACCATGGGTACGATTCTTCAACTTCTTCTTTGCAAAGAAAATGCTGATGTATTCGGAAGGAGGAGATCGGTAAAATTAGTAAGAAAATTAAAAAAACGCAAGGGAGTGGAGTAGGAAATGAGTTGGATTGAGAATCAGCGATGCGGGCAACGTGGACAAACAAGCAATTCGATCGGTGAAAGGGTGTTTAACTGGTTGAACACGGGAAGACCTGGCTTCGGTTTAAAAGCCACGAATGCCACAATCAGCAGTCTCTTAAACACACAAACTTTGCTGTAATTTCAGCGTGTAACGCAGCGGGCAACGGTGCAGAGAACGAAAATTGCCTCCTACATTACCCTCGCCTTGAAATTCCACATTCCAAGTAATCTTCAAATGTACCTTTATTACCAAATTGCAAATTCGAAAATACCCTCACCATTTTTCCCTTCTCTTTCCTTCGTCAAAAATTACGCGTAATTATTCCAATTCTCCCGTTGAGATACAATTCGAGATACTCGGTCCTCGAACTTTCGCGAATCTTCACTCCTGTATAATCGTGT